TGTGAGCCGCCCTGAGTCCCCTTCGGGGGAAAAGGGCAGCATATAAATATAATAAACTGAACTGAACTGAACTGAAAATAAAGGAAACCCTCCATCCCTCCCAGCCTGGATGCTGCGGTCAGTTGGCCCCGGGTGCGTCTCCCCTCCCTTTGGCTGTGCTGATGGAGGGCAGCCATTGCCCACCTGGAGGACATGGGGCTGGGGAAGGCTGGGCTGGCAATCGGCAGCAAGCAGCCCGGGGCCACCTCCCTGCCTTCCCCGGGCCAAGAGACTTACGTAAATGAGGCCCGAGAAATATCTCTCCCGGAGGTTGTGCAGGACGGAGGCTTCGTTGAGGCAGGTGAGCTCGGCCATGTCCTCCACCTTGGAGAACTTGGGCGGGTTCATCTTCTGGATGTCATCCTTGCTGAAGGTCACTTTCTTCCCGTTCTCGGCCAGCTCGGCCAGCACCTCGTCCCCCTTCTCCTCCTTGATGCTTGCGGCTTCGAAGCCATGCTTCTCCGAAGGGACCCAGACCAGCTTCTTGGCCGACCAGTCGGCCTGGGCCACTGTGGTGCTGAGGATGTTCTTATCCACAAAGAGGAATTTCTCATCGTCGCTGAGTTGGCTCTTCTGTGCCATTTTGGCTCAAAGGGCACCTGGGGGAGAGAACGTGGGTTACCCGAATGCCACTCTGTTGCCCATGAAGCCCCGAATTGGCACCATGTCTCCCTCTGGGTTGGACAGAGGCTGGCCACTCCCTCGGGGCCCTTTGAAACCACAGAATAAGAGACATCAACACAATGCTGGTACCACACAGGACCACGTGTGGCTCTGGCCGAAGGAGATGATGGCCTCTGCAGGGATGCAGGACTCGGCCAGACATCCCCCCACGGCCACATTTTAAGCAAAGCCTGGGATAGGAAAAAAAGGGGGTGGGGGGAATCTGGCAGAGAGATCAGGATGATGCTTTGATGAACAGGATGGCTGGAATAATTGCTCTGGTTGGATGAGAAAACCCTCCCCCCAACTTGGCTAGAGGAGGGGGACCTTCCAGGCAGACCCATCACTTAGGAAAGCATCACTATATTTGGGGTTTTGTTTTAATTCTTACATCAAGCTGTATTAAAGGGCATACTTTTTGTAGTGAATCAAGGGAACTTTTAGCAATGAAGCCCAGCTCCTTGGTATTGTTTTATGCACTGAATAATGATCAATATCTCTTCTTTTCAAGAGAAAATTAATCCCTGAAGGAAGCAGGGAGAAAACAGACCTCCTCCTGTCAAAGATCTGCTGCCTTGGAAGTCCCACGGTCAGCTCCTCAGCCAAGCAGGCCTGGCCTGGCTGCTGGTGGCAACTCAACCTTTTCTCCAGGAAAACCGCCTGGGAAATTGTTGCCGATTTCATGGAGGGTCTCTTTCCCCTGTGTTACCAACGGATTGTCTCTTGTTTGGAAAGACTGGCTGGCCTTTGGTCAAGATATTTTACGACATGATCACAGGTCAGCTGAGTCCCTGGAGAAAGCCCTGCTCAGCCACCGATGCCCCGTAGAACTGCAAGCGTGGCCTTCTCGGGGTTGGCCCCGCCTTGGCAGGCCTCAGGCTTTGTCTCCACTTTTGCTCGGCTGGCTAAGTATTTGCCTCGCTGAGGTTGTTTTGACGGCATCTCTTTGGGCTGTTCCTTATTGCTGCCTTTGGGATTTCTTAGCTGCCTTGGAGGTCCTGCACTGCAGAGTGGAAAGCGGGTTCTAAACATTTGCAGACAATATAAACATTGTCAGCTGCATCTGCCAATCGACTGCTAGGTTCAAAAGACAGGAATTCATCAGACACGATGAAGACAGATTGAGGGCTTCCTGCTCCATTTCCCAATCCTTGCCCTTTTCATCCAGAGTGCAGACTTTTGAAAAGTCCCTTTTAAGGGGCAGAAAGAAATGTTCCAAGTACCTTTTGCTCATTTGTTTCTTTTAAAGCCCTCGGCCTCCCCTCATTTGCGGCACAAGGGGACGTTTTGGGGAGAAGCCAGGAGAGTTTCCTTGACCTCCCAGAGAGCTTCAAAAGGATCCAGGCCCCCAAAGGCAGAGAGGCCGTTCGCAAAGCTCTCCGCTTGCACAGATGCAGGCAGGCTACCATATATGGCCACGTTCTTCTCATTATGAGCAGATCCAGCCAAAAAAGAAGAAGAAGGGAGACAGGGGGAAAAAACACACCCTAATGATAACAAGTTCAAAACAAATACCTTGTAGGGCATAAAGGAATCCTTTCCAAAGACAGTAATTAAAAGAAGTGGCCATTGGATCCAATGGCTCTGCTCGGAAGGCCAGATCTACCACAATCCCCGCAGAGGAGGGAGGCCGGCAGGAGCTGCCCTCACCGGCCACCTCCGGTCGGAAGGCTCTGCCTGTGGCTTCCAGGGTGGGAATTGAGCAGCCCTGCCAATGAGACCCTCCCACCAAGCCTGCCTTTGGGGGCAGACCCCGCCCGGCTCCTTCACCTGCACGGGAGGCTCTCCTTGTTCCAGGAGGGAAGGAGAAAGGGATACAGCCAAGGATGGGCTGTCAAAAGAAAAGATTTAGGGAACTTCCAAAGGCGGGACATGCACAGAGGAACAGGCTTTGGTTCAAAAGCCGGCACGGCTGCTGCTGGTTCTCAATGCTGAGCTCAGCTGACATCCAAGTTGCCGGTAAGAAGATTCTTCTACTCTGAGCTGTTGAGAGCAGGCGCTGAGCCCCCCCCCCCCCCCGCTGAGAGAGGGAGCTTCGGTTGCCCTCTGCTGCTCTCCCCCTTCGCTCGCGGCAACTGGGTCTCCCCTTAAGGCATCTTTGGCTTCTTCAGGGAAACCTAAGACCACGCCCGGCAACTAAGTTACTGAGGCTCCACCGAACTAGCTGTCATCACAGGATGCTGCCACAAGTGGCCCGACACTCCTCAGCCCTGAGAGGCCGAGCAACAAGCTCATCTGCCCCAGGGTGGACGCTGGAGTTGAGGGGGAGACCCGAGCCAGAAGAAGCATTTTAGTTGCCGGCAGGTAATGACATTCAGGGATTCATGAAGGCAATTTGAACAGATGCCTTAAGTCGAGTCCTGTCATAATGTTTGAAGGAAATGATCTGGGATCATTAAATGGATTCTTCCTATTTGGGATTGTCTTCGGTGCTGAATGCTCTCTCGGTTTCTGAAGTTCTGTGCAGGTGGAATTATTAGCTCTGCTTTGCTGTTTGATTTCATTTCTACCTTTCCTGGCAGTAAGGAAATCTGGGCTGCAGCAGAGGGGGTCCATCTATGGGGGTCTCCATCTCTGGGGTTACTAAGAAGTAGGTGCACAACCCACTTCCCAGGACAGTGGAACTGGTACTCCTGCAGTGGGTTGGACTAGCTGATCCCTGGGGTCCCCTCCACCTCAAAAGCTACGAAGCACAGCGCCTGCACTGGCCCTCTCCCTGTGCCTCTGCCTCTCCCCGAGAAGGCCACGCTTGCAGTTCTACGGGGCATCGGTGGCTGAGCAGGGGCACAGTCTCAGGGGCTCAGACAGCAAGCCCTCCGTCCCGGCTGGAGGGTCCTCAGGCAGTGCTTAGAAGCAGAAGGACCACCGGGGTCCAGCCACGCTGCCACCGGCTTGTCTGTGCCCCGGGGGGGGGGCATCAACCTCACAGCCTTTCCCGAGGTGCAGTTAGCCTGAAGGGGGTTTGCTCTCGTCCAGGGACGGTGCAGGAGGGTCCTTGGCCAGCCAGGGTACTTACAGAGGTCCAGGAGGAAAGCCGAAGATGCAGGCGCGTCCGGACGGGTGTTTGCGAGCAGCTGGGCAGACCGAGAGCCTGATGTGCTCTGTCCCCTCTATATAGAGGTGACGGGCTCAGGGGAGGGGCCACAGATTCCTCCCCTCAAGAGAGTCTCCGGGGCTCAGACACGAAGGCTTGTGCCGGGGGGAGGGAGGGAGAGATCCAGCTATGGGTTTGCAGCCAGAGTTCCCCCCCCCCAAGCTAAGAGGCATTCTCTCCCTCTCCTTTTCCCCCCTAATAACTTGTGTGGTGGCATTATGGGATGGCTCAGAAATTATCTGCCTTCCCATTGCAACACTATTTCCCAAAATGGAGCTTTCTTTCATCTGGCCCAGAGATACGAGCAGCCGCTTAACCCTTCCGGCTTTCTCATGTGCTGCCACGGCCAGCAAAGGGGAGATGCGGGAGGGGGGGCAGATAAGAGGCAGCCCCCCCATTTCTCCCTGGCCGTCAGCAAGCTCTTATCTGGCTCCGGCTTGGATGCAGAGCTCAAGCGGAGGCTCCTCTCCATGGGGCCGGCCGTTCCCAAGGAGGAAGGAGCCGTGCTCGTCCCTGGCCTGTTTATGTAACATTTGGGGACCTTGGGCTGTTTTGGGCTGGCCCGTCTCTGGGGAGTGGAAGGGCTGGCGGTTTCCCAGCTCGTGCCCGGCTGTTTCTGCAGAATCCTTGCCTGCTGCTCCCTTCCTGAGAAACTCTGCAAATCTCCCCAGTGCCTCCCTGACCTTAAATGGCAAAAAGCGGCGGTTGAGAGCCCAGGGCACTGGGGAGAAGGGGCGGAGTGGGTCCCCTCGGCCCAGCAGGGAAGGAGGCAAGAGGTCCTGCAGGAGGAGGTTGAGCCCCCCAATGCCTCGGGTCCCTCCCTCCCTCCGCAGCTCCAGTCCCACATGCTGGGGCATCCCAAATAGGGAACGCCAGGATCCTCCAGCAACTCCCGTCCGCATTCCAGATGCAAACACGCCTCTGCAGATGTGCAGAACAGCAGCAGCCTAAATATGGAGCCCAAGGCAGGCAGGGAGGGCCAAGGTGGTGGCCTCTCACAGCCTCCTCCTTCCCAAGCAGGAAAGGAGGGGAGCCTGGCTGACCCCCTCGCCTGCCAAGCCTGGCCTGATGCCCCCCAGCTGTGCAGCAACTCCACTGCCCCTCCCAAGCCTTGGGCTCTGCCTGGGGAACAGGCCCTCGGCTTTTGCAGGGCATTGGCTGTTTGCCCAGTGGGGCCCCTGCCCACCCTTTGCTAAGGAAGGGGGCACCGAGCTCTCAGGGACTATCCTAGAAGTCCAGATGCCCCTTTCTCAGCCCTTTGGAAGCTGCAGCCCCACTGTGGGGGAGCCTGCTTTCTCTTCTGCCCCACAAGCCAAGCCAGATGTTGCTAGGCAGCAGGCCCCACCCAGCCCCTGGGAAGAGTTCAGGCCCTACGGGATCTGGTAATTCAAGCGCTGCAGTGATGGACGATCAACTGCTCTTTATCAGCCAAACTTGGGTCCCTGCCGGGAGAGGCAAGAGATGCCCAGGGGTGGATGGCCAGCAGCCACCGCCTCACAAGGGGGCCTCTTTGAGCATCGGGCGGGGGGGGGAGGGGCTAAGACCACAGGCCTTCCGGAAGGTGGGCAGCCAGCCCTGCTGGAAGAGCTCTGAAGCTGTTTTATAAACACCTGCCCCTCTCAATGGCTACAGCTTAAAAAGGAGTGGAAACCCTTTCCCGGCCTTTACCCGGCTGGCTGACAGGCAAGAATCCCAAGCAAGGGGTGATTTATGGGCAGGAGAGGACTGAGCTGGAACGGGGAGGAAGGGCAGCTTCAGGACACCTTGCAGAAGCTCACGGGACGCTTGGTGGACAGAAGCCACCGGGAAGGTGGTGGGGTTTCCTCCCCCTCATGAAGGGAAACAAGGAAACCAACATGCACCGCAGGACCTCACCAGACTCTGATGAGGTCAGAAAAAAGGTATGGAAAGGGGAATCTATCACAGAGAGCAACTCTCCTCCAGCCAAAGTAGCAGATCACAAGGCTGAGGCGCCCTGTCCTGTCCTGGGGGGGGGAGAGGGACAGCCCTGGACAGGCAGTGGCCACTACCTCATGGCCAGAAAGGAAAAGCCAGCTGCTGTGGGGGGGGGGAGGAGTGGGGGCTGCACAGGCTCCGTTCACCGTCCCAGGATGGCTGCAGAATCGAAGCGAGTCCCTCTGGGCTCCTTCCTCAAGAGACTGGCCTGGGTTCACCCTCCTTGCTTTCTGCCAGATCTGTTGGCTGAGTTGCGACAGATGAACGCCTGGGAAATCAGTCTGGCCGTGACGTGTCACACACTTCTCAAAAGACGCCAAGGCCGGCTGGGGGGTTCACCCCTCCCTTACAAAGCTGACTTATGACTTCCTCTAAAAAGGGGAACTGCCCGTCCGGAGGTTTATTGTGCTTTTGATTATTTTACTGTGCTGTTAAACGACCGGATGACTTCAGTGCCATCAAGTCAGTCAACTTTTACCTTCTACATAGATCTCCTGTGGGGTGATCTGAAAGAAGCAGAGATGATTGTGGCCCTTCTGAATCAACTGTTTTTTATCGGACGAAAGAGGTTACCACAATGAAAAAATGCAAACAGCTGCTACTCATAAAAAAATGCGGTTACTTTATTTATGGATGTCTTGTGAAACCCATGTATCTTCAAAAGCCTCACACCACGTTCCGAGTCTGCAACAGTTTCTGAAAGTTAAGATAAAGCCATTAACGCATCAGTGTCCAAGCACAGACTGCAATGTGGTGACTCAAAGACAGACAAGCGTTGTTTAAAAGAGCCTTAGCTCTTCTCCCAGGTGTTTGGTGAGGAAGACCCTTGGCTCCACCGTTCACTGATTTCCCTGTAACTTCTGAACGGCCCAAAGTCACTCGAGAGTCAGGCAGCATATATCTTTAATAAAGTATTATTAATATATACACAGGTCTGTCGGTTCGCGTGTGCTGTACTCATTCAATTAGATGGCTTTCTGGTGGTCCACTTTGAAGGTGCCACCGAGGGGCCTCTGGGGGACGTGTGGGGGGGCCTTCTCTTCGCTGCCTTGTAACAGCTGAGTTAGAATTCCATATAAAAGTGGCCTGTTAAGAGAAAGAAAAGAATCCCAGTGTTTAAAGAGGAGACTCTGTGAAAGGGCTGCAGCTGCCCACTTCAGTGGGGTCTGTAAGAGGGACCCCCGGAGGGAAATAAAGGCACAAGGCACTCAGCAATCGAGCTCTCAAAATCCAGTATGGCTCATTGCACCAGAAGGACTTTGGGATGTGGGCCTCCAAATGCAACACCGGACAGCCATTCACACGAAACCTCCAGCCGGAGAAAGGGTTGCTTTTAGAGCCAAGAGTGCAAAAATGACCAGGGCCTGCATGCAAATGATTTGGGATTTGGACGAGGAGGCAACGGATGTTTGACCAAGGGAGAAAAACCTTCGGGAGGCCCCGGCGCCTTCTTACACGGATCTGCTGCTGGTGTCCTCCACGACGTGCAGCTCCTTGGCGAGGAAATCTCGGTCCAAGGGGATTTCGGGCTGGCCGGACTCTGCAACACACGGGAGGAGGAGGGCGGGAGAGGGGGCTCAGCTCCGAAGGCGGCCGGAGGGAGATGCGGGGTCTGGCCGGGGCTGCCCATGTTCCCTAGCCTGAGAGGGGCGGCCCTGCCCTCCCCGGAGCCCTTCTCAGCAAAGGCGCCTCCCGCGGGGGGCCGGACGGATGACCTCTGGGGGGCCCTCCCCTCCCTCACCGGCCAGGAAGACGGAGGCGCTGCAGTGGAAGCGCTGGAACTGCAGGTATTCGCGGATCAGCTCGTTCAGCAGGAGCGTCTCTCGGGGGGCGGCGGGGCGCGGCTCGCCCGGGTCGTCCAGCGCGGCGAAGACCTCTGCCCGGACGCGGGCGCGCACCTGCCCCAGCGCCCCGCTCCGACCCAGCGCCTCCTTCAGGGCTGCGCGGAGACAGAAGCGCCTTCAACACGGGCAGCCCCGCCGCCGCCGCCCGCCCCGTCCCCGCCGGCCGTTGCGCGGGCGGGCCCAGCGAGGAGACCTGCGGCAGCCCCGCCCCGCCCCCGGGAGGAGAAGCCGCCGCGCCCGCCGCCGTTACCCGCTTTCAGCTCCGCCACCGTCGCCATCTTGGGAGGAGGCGGGGCCGGAAGCCGGGCGCCCGGAGAGACCGAAGCCCGCCCTTCGCCCTCATTGGCCCGCGGCCGGCCATTCGCAGCGCGCCCTGACTCAGCAGCGGCGGGAGTGGGGGGGGGGGATGCTGAGTCAGGGCGGCCGGGCTCGCTCGCTCTCTGGCGCCCTCTGGCGGCGGTGCCCGAACTCGAGGCGCACACGCGATGCGTCCCCGGGATGGGCCGGGGGGACTCCGTGGGCGGCGGGGGAAGGTCGTTTGGCTGCAGCCGGCGGGGTCGGCCTTTCCTCTGAGCCAGGCGGGCCCGTCCCGGGCGCCCCGTCCGCAGG